CTATAATTACAACAATCTGTCTTCAATCCCATCAAAGACCACAGAAGGGTAATATATAAACACTAGAATTGACAGAGACATCTTGCTACCTGGACAGTCACCTGAAGTTCCTCTGTAATGTTGGGGCCTCCATTTTTTAGCCCATAGGTTACAGTGTGTCTGGAAAACTTCTTAGCAAACCAGGAAATTTTAAACTGTCTGCCTGCACTGGCAGTTTGTCAGTCATTTTTTTATGTGTCCTGTAGAATGTCTGGCAGACTCTTCTATGAAGCAGGAACCCTTTAGGACTGTCCCATCAAGTTTAGCAGTCACTTTCCTGTGGGTCCTGTGTGTTCAGTCTATCAAACAGTAAAGGCAAGAGCAGTTTCTTGCCCAAATGGCTAATCTTGCCATGTTGAAAGCAAACTCTATAATGAGTTTCTTCAATGCCCATCTTCCTCTCAAGCGTAATTGGTGTGCCAGGGGTAGTTGTGTCTCACTATCATGAAAAACCCTAAACCATTTACATGCCATATATTCTGTAGGTCTTTGAAAGGTTTGAAGAATATCTATCCATCTCAAATACATCTCTGGATATCCAGAAAACCTAACTAACCTAACTATAAGTTCTGACTATTATAGGTGACTATATATAATCTGTTTTTAATTATGCATTACATTTTAAAAGATCAATATAAACACAATACTTAAACAAGAGGAGAAATACACACATCACAAAACTGACCTTAAATTTGTATCAATAAATGAAAATCCATACCAATACAAAATATTCATTTCTATATCATATTCCCCTTTTTCCTTTTAGAAAGAGATTGACTGTGGTCATTACCATTTATAACCAACCCTGTGTAAATGAAAACAACCATTTATAAACTATATTTGGGAATGTGGACATCATTCTTTCAAAACTACTTCCTGCTGTTAAGGGGTGCTGTTTTGGGGATCCTAAGAAGACCCAGAAATCTTGGCTGTAGTGGCCTGTAATTGCATGGTTTCAGCTGTTTTGGAATGTTGGATCACCTGGGCTTCTGCTTCTGGGGGTCTTGCTTCATCAAACCATATAAGTCTGGAAGGAATCCATGGCTTTTCATTTTCTGTGGAAACACAAGCAAAAACTCTTTTCCCAAGTAACCTGTCCTTATATTTAAATTTAGAAGTTAAAGCATTTTTAAAAGATATAAGTTGGAGTAATTTAGCAGCATTTACAATCATGGGTATTTCAGTAATTGTTGTTCCTTCCTTAGCAATTGAACAACTGAACGACAACACAATAGTATACAGTATCCAGACTCTGTGTATTTTCCATCTTTATGTTGCTTTTTTATTACTCTATATCTTTTAATTTTACTTTTTACTTTTTTGAGACAGGGTCTCTCTGTGTACTTTGGCTGCCTTTGAACTTCCTCTGTACACCGGCTGGCCTTGAAATCACAGAGATCTGTTTGCCTCTGCCTCCCGAGTGCTGGGATTAAAGGCGTGTGCCACCACACCCAGTTATTCTTTCTTTCTTTTTTCTTTCTTTTCTTCTCTCTCTCTCTCTCTCTTTCTTTTTTTTAACCACTATCTTGTTTCTCTTTCTCTCCCAAGCCTACATATATTTTTAAACATACTATCAATCTTTTAGAGGTTTTACTTTAACTGAATCTGATTGTAAATCTTTATGTTTTTCTGGCCACGTGTCTTTTATCTGTTAAACAACATTGCTAAAATTAAAGCCAAGGCTGTTTTAACTGTTGTTTTTCCAACATGGCAGGCGTAAGTTTACCACTAGCCCTGGAAGCTGTGCTCACCACCTTGGTCTATGCTGCCATCAAGCAGCATGCTGCTACTTGGGGACGTGGTCATTGCCACTGCCAGCTGCTGGTACACACCAATCTTGTTTGATTGTGGGGCCTCTTAAAAGAGTCCTGTGATTTTTTTGTCCCTTATACTGAGTCAGGAAGACTCCCTTAAGGGAGCTGTGTGAGTCTCTGCTTGTCTCTACCAAAACAGAGCACACCTGATAAAAATGCCGCTACCAAGAAGCCATGTTTCGGTCTGTTTTCTGTTTTTAAAAATCCATTTTTAAGCTTTTGTTAAGTGGAAATTTGTGCCTCAAGTCTAGGCACCATTATGTAACCAGCATTCTCCCCACCAGCCTGGTCACAGAGCCGTATCAGTCCCAAATAACACACAGAGAGTCTATTAGTTACAATGCCGTCAGCCAATGTCCAGGGCTTCTCATTGGTTAGTTCTGTCTTTAGTATTAAACATATATATATGTCCACAGAACAGTCTGGTGAGGACATTTTTTTTCAACTGAGATTGTACCTCCCCAAATGACTAGCTTGTGTCAAGTTGATGTAAAACTAGCTAGCGCAGGACACATGTCCTTGAAGAGAATAATAAGGCTCTAGGCCCTTGCTCTTCTCCTTTCAGCCCCGGTCAGCAGCAAAGCCAATATTCTGCTTCACCACCTGCTCCACACCATCCAAATGGCTTTCCCACTGAAGCCCTAAAACCAAAAGGGCAAGCTGGCCACAGTCCCAAACCTCTACAGCTGGGAGCCAACAGAAGCCCCGTTTCTTTCTGATAATTTCAGGGATATCTGTGATAGTGCTGGAAATCTCACTTATATAATTAAGGTCGTGTGTGTGTGTGTGTGTGTGTGTGTGTGTGTGTGTGTGTGTGTGTGTGTGTAGCAGGCAGTGTCTCTCTAGTTTCTTCTACTGCACAGTACACCAGGCTAGCAAGCCTGTTTCATTCTCCCTTCTCACTGCAAGAGTGCTAGGAATACAGATGCACACCACCACTGAGTCCTGCCTTTTACACATGTTCCCAAAGTCTAACACCGATCATCAGCCTTGTGTGGCAAGTGCTTTTCACCCACCGAACCATCTCCCCATCCCCTAGAAGTTTTATTTTCTAACGCTCGGTGTTGGTTTACAGATAGATGTATGATTGACTTTGCATGTTAAAATTATACTCAAATAATTTTCTGAGTTCTCATTGTGTTTTAGCTTTTCCGTATTTCTCTGAAATTCCCTATGTTGTTTGTAAATAATGATCTTTAAAACAATAATAATTTGTTACAATGCATGGGGTGGGTTCTCCACTCTAATGCTTAATAGACCTAATTATAGCAGACATTAGTAGCTCTATCTTTAATTATTAGACTTCTATTTTTAATGGTAAGTGGTTATAAAATTTTGCAAAATAAATGTTGTTCACTCATTGAGACAATATGATTTAACTGCTTGTACGATCAATTACATTGACCAGTTAACTAGTATTAAATGATCCTTTGATTTTCAGAACAAATCCCATTTGTTGTGATATATTGTTATTTTTAAAATTTATATCTCAGGATGAAGCTTCCCAGCCTAGTATTTCAGGATTTGTGTTGTGGGGCTGCAGAGCTAGGTCAGCAGTTAAAAGGACTTACTAGTTTTGGAGAAGGCCTAGTTAGATTCTCAGTATCCAGGTCAGGCAACTCACAAATGTCTATGTATTCCTAGCTCCAGAGAATCCAATGCCCTCTTCTGGTTTCGGAGGGCACCTGCACCTTGAGCATGAATGAACAACCATGAACACACACACACACACACACACACACACACACACACACAGAGAACAAATAAATAAATAAATAGTAATATATCTAGAATTTGTCTCTTCATTCATGTGATATGTCAGCCTGTAATTTTCCATTTTACAAATGCCTTGTTGGGTTTTAGTATCAAGCTTATTCTGTCCTTATAAATTAAGTAAGAAAATATTTGTTTTTTTTTTCTTCCCTATTTCTTGGAAGAGCTTATGTAAAACTGGTGTGTCATTTCTTATTTGAATGTTTGAAATAATTTACTGGTGACGCCATGTGGATCTGAGTCTTTCAAAACCTTTGCATCTCTGTAATCAAAGATTAATTTTTAAAAGGGATTTAGGGGTAGGCATGTTTTGTAATTCTTATAGTGTCAGTTTGAATAAACTACATTTTCTAATATGTTGTCCATTACATTTAAAATTTGTTAGTATAAAGTTGCTGTTTATTTAAAAGAAAAGGCCTTTGAGACAAAGTCTCACTATGAGGCCCAGCCTGGCCTCAATCTGTCTGCTAAGTGCTGGGATCCTAGACCTGTGTCCAGCGCATAGTAGATGCTCAAGAAAACATCGTTTCATGCTCAGTGAAGGCATGGCATTGTCTCTATTCATGGAAAGGGAAATGCAGTACAGAGGCTTTTTCAAGGTCACACTGGGTCAGTGGGGCTTAAAGCCAGGCCTTCTGATGCCCAAGGCCAGTACCCCATCTGTACCCAGAATAAAGTTTTTTGTGGAAGGCCACCCCCAAGCTCAATGAAAAGCCATGACCCCCAAAAACCCTCGCAGCTCTCTGCCTACATCTTGCGTGTGTCCCGGACCCCTCTGGCTAACCCTGCACCATTCCCCTCCCTCATTCTCCTCTCTCCAAGGAGGCTGACTCATCTGGATCCCCAAGCGAAGTTCCCAGACTCCATTCCTGCTGGAGCTGACCAGCAATACACTCTCTGATCACTGTGGCACTTTCAAGGGGATAAAGGGCTTCTCCCCTCTGCAGAGTGGAGAGTAGAGTACACCCAGCCACTCCCGGGGGGGGGGGGATGGATGTCTGATGCACCCAAGGTATCGCTTTCAGTTGGAAGATTTTTGCATCATGAAATGGTTTGCCCCTCATAGAACCCTTTTTGGAAAACGGCAGGTCCTAAAAGGGGATCTGCTTAGGCAGTCAAAAAGCAGATCTTTTTTTTTTTTTTTGGTGGTCTTTTTTCGCTCTATTCTTTATTTTTAACCTTCTGCTTTAGACTCTGCCAGTCTGTGTCTCTCACTCACCCCTGGAGCTTTCTTTTCAATACTGGTCATTCGTGGAGTCGGCTCGCCCTCTCTGCTTGTGACTGGTGGTTGAGCGGCCGCCGCCTCTGTCTAATGAGGGGCCCTCCAGGCCCGGCTGCCCTTGTTTTTGATACCTGGGGAGAGGATGTGCAGGCAATGAGCAATTGGATGAGAAGGGCCTCAGTGAGCAGACATCACAGTCAAGCTCAAAGAGGCCAGGAAGTAGAACAAAGAGCAGAAACATTTACAGAAGTGCTCCGGTGTAAGGGGAGGGAGCTCGCAACTCCAACAAGGTCAGTGGCGAGAGGGAAAAAATTGAAAGGAATTGCTGAGGGGAAAAAGAGAGAGAGAGAAACCTCAGAACGGGGCGCTGAGGACTCCCTGAGTTAGGCTTGCTGCCTGGCTCCTAGAACATTTTCCTTGATATCTTTCCAGGAAGCTCTGTTCCTCCAAGACTTCAATACACTGGAAAAGTTTGTGCAACTGCCTAGAAGGGGGGGGGTCTAGAAGCCGTGAGTCACCAGCAGCGGTCTGTGTGTGTCTGCTTTCAACACTGGCTTCCTCTGAGGCCACATCAATGGAGGCTTTGGGGTTCCTTGGCATGTGCTGGGTTTACATTCTTGCCCTCCCTCCGTCCACACTCCCCCCCCCCGTGTGTGTGTGTGTGTGTGTGTGTGTGTGTGTGTGTGTGTGTGTGTGTGAGTGTGTACCTGGCCAGCCTACATTAGGGGAGTATAGTGTGTGGGGCTTCACTGGCTGCCAAGAACACAATGAATGAATTGGCACAGCCTTGTGCTTTGGTTACCATTGCTGGAAGATAGCCAGAAGGAGCTACAGAGAAATCATGCTTCCCTTCCATGCTTTGGGCAAGGTTCTTGGGTGGGGAGAGGCACATGTGAGAATAGCATGCATGTGTGTACACATGTGTGTGGTGGCAAGGGGTCAGCATCGTATGCTGTTCCTCAGGATGCCACCCACCTTGTTTTGAGACAAGGGCTCTCTGGCCTAGAACTTGGTAATTTGTCTCTGCTAGCTGGCGGGTGAAGCCCAGAGGTCTCTGCAGCACTGGGATTTCAAGTGTCCACCATCACAACCAATTGTTTTTCATGGATTCTGGGGAACGGAATTAGGGTCTCATGCTTACCCCTGTAACGAGAAAGCACTTTACGGAGTTGTTAAGCACCTCAAGCCTCGGTTTATCTGTAAATGGGTTGCAATATATAATCTTGTTTGCTGGTTGATCTGAGACTGATGCCCAGTTTACGTGCCACTGTTTCCCACGGGAATATTAAAATGGAGCTACTACAGAGCCAGGCTCTTTGAAAGCTTGCTTCTCGGGAAACTTCTAGAAAGGCACATAGCCTCGGGTCTTAGATGTGCTGTGTGGTGCCACCTTGTCTTGTAGGCTCTCTGTTGGAAATATTTTAATTGTGCTTCTGCTCACAACACAATGAGTTTTAGCATTGTTTTCTTTATATCTTTATATCTCAAAACCATCCCACCAAAAGATTCAGAGTGCAGATTGCCCATGAAGCACCGATCTTCTCCCAACCCAACATGTAACTTATGTGCACTTGTTTCTTGCTAGTTGGCCCCCTCCCAGCCTCTGGAATGTAAATGCGCGAGGGTAGGATAATTTTTAATATGGCTTTTTAGCTTTTGAAGATTTTTAGACTTGTAGAACATTCGTGAAGGCAATAGTGTCCCCATACACTCCGCCTCCAGTTTCTCCTGTTGTTAGCCTCTTGTAATATGCCTGGGTTTTTTTCCTACTATAACAGAATACAAAGGCTATGTAACTTACAGCAGAAGGAATCTGTGGTACTGGGGACTGAACCCAGACCATGTATATGCTAGGCAAGTGCTGTGCCAAGTTGGATCCCAGCCCTAAGAGAAAGAGGTTTATTTAGTTCATGATAGCAGAAATTGGGGAGTCTAAGGGTGTGACATCAGCATCATTTTTCCTTGTTGCAAGGTAGAAAGCAGAAAGTCGGGTGAGAGCCTGCTGAAGAAAGCAGCAGGAGGGGCGGGCTTGCTTATATCGCAACTCTCGTGGCAGCTGACCCAATCCCTAGATGGTAACATTAATCTGCTCTTGGAGACTTGCCCCATGACCTAAACACCTCCCATAGGCTCCACCTCCCAACATTACCAGATGGGGAATGAGGCTTCTAACTTTGGGGATACCTCCCAACCATACATTTGTCATGGCTAAAAGAAAAACAAAAATTGATGCACTGTTATGAGTTAAAATGTAGGCTTTCAGATTCCTTAATTCTTCCATATGTTCTTTTTTTTTTTGGTTTTTTTTGAGACAGGGTTTCTCTGTATTGTCTTGAAGGCTGTCCTGGAACTCGCTCTGTAGACCAGGCTGGCCTCCAATTCACAGAGATCCACCTGCCTCTGCCTCCTGAGTGCTGGGATTAAAGGCATGCACCACCAACGCCCAGCAATTCTTCCATATGTTCTTATACCAGTGAGTTTTCTGTTGATATAACAAAATATCTGACTGAATAAGTTTATAAAGAGGAAAGGCTTATTTGGGCTAAGAGTTGTCCAAATTTCAGCCCATGTTCAATTGGCCTCTTTCTTCTGGTCCCAGGGTGAGGGATCAAACACAGCAAGTGTGAGCTGTCAGGCAGGCTGCTCATATTATGGCAGAAGGAAGCACGAAGAGATGTAAAGAGATCAGTGTCCCACAGTCCTTCAAGGGCATCTCCTCAAACACCTCAGACTTCCCAGTAGATCCCTACCTCTTAATGGTCTCCACCACCTTCAGGCCGAGGACCAAGTCTTTACTCTTGGAGAATACTGAGATCCAAACTGTAGGGCTGGAGAGACAGCTCAGTGGGCAAACTGCTGGCTGTACAAGCATGAGGACCTGGGTTCAGATCCCCAGAGCCCACATAAAAGCTGGGTGTGGCTGTGTGTATCTGTGACTCTTGCACTGGCAGCAGGAGTAGAGGGGACAAGCAGATCTAAGGGGCTCACTGTCTGTTCAGCTTAACTAAAATGGGAAGCTCCAGGTTCAGTAAGAGACCCTGTCTCAAAGCATAAGGGGGAGGTTTCCCGCCCTCCTTCCAGTGCCCTGCTCAGAGCTGCCTGAGGACTGGGTACTGTGCACTGGTGATCCCATCCTGGTGGTCCAGCCCACACAGAGACTGCCAGCTTCGTAGTCCCTTTCTCCGACCAAGGAACAAGGTAAGCTTGGGCCTGTTTCCGGCCCTCCTTCCAGTGCCCTGCTTGGAGCAGCCTAAGGCCTGGGGACTGCACACTGGAGAACCCACCCCAGCAGTCCAGCTCATCCAGAGACTGCCAAGGCCCCGGTACTAGTCCTGCCTCCATCCACAGGAAGAGGAGAGCCATCAGAATATTGGCCCTATTTACAACCACTGGAACGGAACCTTGGACCCTTACCCACCATGAGAAGAAGAGATTCCTTCTGCACCCACTGGAAAAAGGATATGAAGAAGACATTATAAAAACACACTCAAAAACAGAAAAACCAATGTGACACCACCAGAGTCTAGGGACTCTATACCAGCAAGACCTGAACATCCCAACACAGATGAAGCAGAAGAGAATGACCTTAAAAACAACTTCATGAAAATGATAGAGGCTCTCAAAGAGGATATGAGAAAAATCCCTTAAAGAAATGAAAGAAAAAACAGACAAATATAAGAAATCAGCAAATCTCTTAAGGAAAGCCAAGAAAAAACAATCAAACAGATGAAGGAAACAATTCAAAATGTTCAAGACATGAAAACTAAAATAGAGACAATAAAGAAAACATAAGCTGAGGGAATGCTGGAAATAGAAAAGCTGGGTAAATGATCAGGAGCTACAGATGCAAGCATAACCAACAGAATACAAGAGATGGAAGAGAGAATCTCAGACATTGAAGATACACTAGGAGGCATAGATTCATCCACCAAAGAAAATCTTAAGTCCAGCAAATTCCTAACACAAAATGTCCAGGAAATATGGGACACCATGAAAAGACCAAACCTAAGAATAACAGGTATAGAAGAATGTGAAGAAACCCACCTCACAGGTACAGAAAACATATTCAACAAAATCATAGAAGAAAACTTTCCCAACCTAAAGAAAGACATGCCAATGAAAGTACAAGAAGCTTACAGAACACCAAATAGAGTGAACCACAAAAAAGTTCCCTCCCCACATAATAATCAAAACCCCAAACATGCAGAATAAAGAAAGAATATTAGGAGAAGCTAAGGAAAAAGGCCAAGTAACATATAAAGGCAAACCTATCAGAATTAAACCTGAATTCTCCATGGAAACCCTGAAAGCCAGAAGGTCCTGGATAGATATTCTACCAACAGGAAGAAACCACAGATGCCAACCCAGTTTACTATACCCATCAAAGCTTTCAGTCACTGTAGATGGAGAAAACAAGATATTCCATGACAAAACCAGATTTAAACAATATATATTCGAGGAGGACTCTGGGAAGGAGAAACACAGGAAGTTGAGATGTAACCGCCATGGGGTAGGAAGCCCGGAAATTTCTCCAGTAAGAGAAATACTTAGATTAACAATTATGGGGTAAATACTTAAGTCAGAGCTAGCCAGTAAGAAACAAACAAGGCCAACAGCTTCATAATTTTTTAAAAAAATACATATTCACTAACCCAGCCCTACAGAAAGTTCTGGAAGGAAAACTCCAACCCAAGGAAGTTAATTACAGCCAGAAAAACATAGGCAATATATATTCCAATTTACCAATGCCAAAAGAAAAAAAGGGGTGGAAAATCCACATACAATTCCACCAATAACAACAAATCCAAAACAAACAAGAATGAATAATCAATGGTCATTAATATCCCTCAATATTAGTGGTCTTAACTCGCCCACAAAGAGACACAGGCTAATAGAATGGATTTGAAGACAGAACCCAGCCTTCTGCTGCTACAACAAACACACCTCAACTTCAAAGACAGACGTTACCTCAGAGTTAAGGATTGGGAAAAGGATTTTCCAATCAAGTGGACCCAAGAATCAAGCAGGTGTAGCAATCCTAATATCTAACAAATTAGACTTTAAACTAAAACCAATCAAAAGAGATGAAGTCGCTTCATTTTCATCACAGGAGAAATTCATCAAGATGAAATCTCAATTCTGAACATTTATGCCCCAAATACAAAGGCATTCACATTTGTAAAAGAAACATTACTAAAACTCAAATCACACATAAAACCTAACCCACTTATAGTGGGAGACTTCAAACCCCACTCTCACCACTAGACAGGACCACCAGACAGAAACTTAA